GATTTATAAAGACTCTAGCTTCCTCATTCCTGAAGAAGGATAATTCTAGCTGTGTGTTTTTCATCATTTCTGATAATTTTCCCTTTAACATAAGCTTTAGTTGGTGACTGTGATACTGACTTAATAGTGAACTCTTTTCTGTATCACTTCCCAATCCCTACCAGTGTGATCTGCACTTCCCAGTAAACTACTTTCACTAGAACCTTTTTTTCTGAGTCTCTTCTATGAGAAACTAATCTATGACAATACGATAACTCTCTCAGCTTCAAATTTCTAATCCCTACAAAGGGAACATTAATACCTATTTTGAAAGTTTGTTAAAGAGTTAATAGTAATGTACACAAAACATTTAGCCAATACCCATCAGATAGCAGGCATCCCAGAATTAGTGTTTTTTGTTCAGAAAATTCCTAATTTTAACGTTGAAGGTAAGAATATTTTTGTAATAATTAACTAGATCAACTAAATACATTTTTTTCTAGCTGTATTGAGGTATAATTGACAAATGAAAATTGTGTATATTTCAGGAATACAAGGTGATGCTCTGGTATATATATTCACTGTGAATAGCATATTTATTAGGTCACGTAGTTACCATTTCCTTTTTATTTTTGTAGTGTGAACATTTAAGATCTACCTTCTCAGTTTATTTCAGATATATGATAAAGTGTTTTTAGCTATAGTCACATTACTATAGACTGATGAACTTATTTATCTTTCATAACTGATGCTAGTCAAGAGAATATCCTAGTTTTCATATCCTTTACTTCACCCCTGAACGATGATCACAGTAAGCGGCCGTTATCTCTTAGCCAAGTCTTCAGAGCATCTAGATTTGCAGTATCAAAAGTTGGCATCTGTCATGGAAATCCACACTGTTAGCTCATCAGAGGTATTTCCACCACTCCCATGCTGGTAGGAGGTCCCAAGAAGGTGACCCAGGTCCCCGACTTTTCAATTTCTCTCCGAGTCAGCATCAATCAATCCTCACATGAGTGAATGCTTATCTTACATCAGTTCAGGACCCGAAGCACCAACCTCTGTCTATCATGACTTCTATGAAGGCACAAGTTCTACTTTGCTCCTTTCTTACCTTCTTCTGATTTCCCTGGAAACACAAGTTTTTTGTTTCTTTAGATGCTTCATATTGGCCTCATAAAATGTGAAGGTTGTTTTATTCCCTCCTCGGCTCAGAGATTACGGATTGTGCCAAGTCGTACACGCCCAGTGTGCAGTTTCTCAGTTCTCAGCTTTGTTCTTAGTTAATTTTCCTCATAAGATTTCAAGTAGGGGACAAATTGTCTTAATGTGGCATAATGTATGGTCTGTATTTTACAAGGAATAACTTAGTTTCATTTAATTTGTCAATAGGTATCCAGGAGAGGGGGCCATATAAATATTTTATTTATATGATGCCAAGAATAAATTTATTCAAATGAGACTCCCTCTTATGAGTCCACAATGAATTCTCAAGCAGTTTTTGATGCAGGTGAATGGAATGAATGGCAGGTCAGAGGCTGAGATGAAAAGATCTCTGCATTCAGGGCAGCCATTAAATGCAGTCCCTGCTGCCATATCATGCAACTGTTGCTCACTGAGGTGTGGGAAACTAAGTAGGAAATTAAGTTTGTGTGAACAAAAATGTTATCTGCAAATATAAGTGATTAATCCTCTCATTGTTAAAGAAACTCAAGTGCATGTCTTGCTAGTGCTGACTTCCAATGTCATTTCTACTATATTGAGAGTTAAATGTAAGTGTCGTTGGTAGAAAGAGAGGACCTCAGCTTGGATCAGAATCTGTCCTTATTAGCTACATATCATCACACATTAAATTATTCTCAGCTGAAAAAATGAAGGTAACGATACATAACCAACTGCTTTGAGAATCAAGTTGGATAATACCTATGGTATATGATATGTGTGTAAATCCCATATCAGAAATTCTTTCAAATAAAACAAAACACCTTATGAGATGAGGATACTTCAGAGTTTATTCAGAATCATATAGCTAAGAACTTCTGCTACCAGGGACATAACCCAAAGTTATCATGAACACAAGAAAGAAGGATACAAGAAACATAAGGAGGATATTGAAAACAAAAAAAGATTGCAAAGATTATTGATCAATTGCAGAAACCTAAATTCCTTAGAAGCAGAGAACGAAGCTCTTGAATATTGAGTCAAAGCTGAGACCATGACCCCGAATTGAGAACACACGAAGCTGGCACATGATCCACAAGGTGGAAGGAAAAAGAGAATCAGGATGAAGTATTTTGCCGTCCGTGAAGCAGATTCCCAAGACTCATACACGCATAGAATTCATAAAAATTTGGGTGAGAGCATGGTGGCTGTCAGCAGCAAAGTAAATTCGTCCCCCAAAAGATCAGTCAGTCGAGCAGAAAGTTGTTGTGTGAGGACGGTGGTTCTCTTGGGACTTGATCAGCAGCAAGAAGGCTGGCAGCAGCTGGACACACAGGTGGGCTGGAAGCAAGTGGTCCTGCAGCAGGTGGTCTCACAGCAGGCTGGGCGGCAGCAGGGCTGGCAGCAGCTGGATCCATAGCTCTGGTTTAGGCAACCAGGCAGGCAGACACACGTGGGGTGATAGCAGGTCCTCCTGCAGTAGACAGGTGCACAGGAGCTGGTCTGGCCACAGCTGGACCCACAGCTGGTTTGGCCACAGCAGCTGGACCCACAGCAGGTGGGCTGGCAGCAGGGTGTGCTGCAGCAGGAAGGCTGACAGCAGCTGGTCACACAG